CTATCAACAGCGAAATAAGAAAGATATTGTATTTCGAGAGACGATGACATCTGTCTATTATTATAATAATACCTAACGATAAAATAAATGATTTAGAAAAGTTTTTCTTGTTTAACTGCTTTCCCTGTGACTTTTTCTGATTAAAAAAAAGCCAATTTTTATGTTTATAAAATATTTTGAATGAAAAATATTAAAATATGTACAAAATAAGCCATTTTGAACACACTTTTTTATTATTTATCAAAAGAAATATAGTTCTGGCATAAACAATGTTAAATTTTAACTGACTTAATTTTGCGAACGCATCTTTTTTATTTATATGGATATCTTAAGGTCAGTTTTTGCGCTAATGTTGCTAATGCACCATTTGAGCGAAAAAAAATTGTTAAGCAAAAATTTTCTGTTAGTGAACCCTTTGTTAAATATTTCGAATATCACCACTGGCCGGAGAAGATTTGGTCTATTCCTTAGGAAGGTTGAATAAATGAAGGTTGGCACATTAGAACGGTTCTGGATGTATTCCAGGAGTAAATTCTAGAATTAATTCAGGTTGATGACAAAGTTATTCCAATTTGGGGACACAAATGTTTTAGTTCCAACTTGCTAGAGTAATTCATTTTGGAGCACAGATTATCAATCAAGGAACTGATGACAACTGCCTAAACTTGTAGTTATTTGCTATATTGAACTGATGAAATCGAGACAGTAGGTCAGAAGGTTATGAGAAAGCGTCCCTTTTACTGCTGAGAACTTAACAGACAATTTACTCCCAGGTGTGAAAGTTGACAGTTATTCNTATTTTTTATAAAAAAATATAGTTCTGGCATAAACAATGTTAAATTTTAACTGACTTAATTTTGTGAACACATCTTTTTTATTTATATGGATATCTTAAGGTCAGTTTTTGTGCTAATGTTGCTAATGCTAAGGAAAAATTTTCTGTTAAGGAAAAATTTTCTGTTAGAGAACCCTTTGTTAAATATTTCGAATATCACCACTGGCCAGAGAAGATTTGGTCTATTCCTTAGGAAAGTTGAATAAATGAAGGTTGGCACATTAGAACAGTTCTGGATGTATTCCAGGAATAAATTCTAGAATTAATTCAGGTTGATGACGAAGTTATTCCAATTTGGAGAGACAAATGTTTTGGTTCCAACTTGATAGAGTAATTCGTTTCAGAGCACAGATTATCAATCAAGGAACTGATGACGACTGCCTAAACTTGTAGTTATTTGCTATATTAAACTGATGAAATCGAGACAGTAGGTCAGAAGGTTATGAGAAAGCATGGCTTTTACTGCTGAGAACTTAACAGACAATTTACTCCCAGGTGTGAAAGTTGACAGTTATTTGACAAAGTTTTATTGTCAAGATGTTATGTTGTGATTTAGTTATGTTAATAAATTACATAGTGCAGAGTCTCACAGATGTTGCCAATACATAACAGAATGGAAAATGATTTCAATGATGTAGATTGATATTGACTGATGGGATGTGATATTAATTCACCCTTAACTGGTTGGTATCATTAGTCTGCCAGACTCCTGCAATTCTTTTTCTTCTCAGAACTTGTGCTACCTTTAAAAATAATATAAATCCTATTTTCTACCTTCAAGTTGATAATCTAGCAGCAAATGAAAAAGTATGTCCATGTCTGATAAGAGCAGTTTACTTCTCTCACATGGTTTCATAAACCAATGATACCCATTCTGTTAGAATTTCCATTGAGTTAGCCTCGTCAACTGCATGCATTTTAACGATTGTACTTCCGTTAGTTTCTTTTTGAGTTACTGAATTGGATGTATGATCTGCATTATAGTTGTTAGTGTGCATCACAAACACAAGCAGCAATTTTTATGAAAAACATTTGCTTACAGTATGGCACTGCAATTTGTTTAGAATGTGCTAAGAAAATCTGTAAAATGTAATAATGTAAATGTAAAAATAATAAAAATAAAGTATCTTATTATCATATATTTAACTTAAACACACAAAATCAAACATTCTTTATTATTTTCTTTTTATAACTATTTTAATTTCAAAAATTTTAATAAAAATATTACTTTTTCAATTTGAATTTTATCATATAAGTTTTCATCAAAAGTTATTCCATTAATTACATCTCCATTTTCATCTTGAAATTTCATTTTTATATATATTCCTTCCCGTTCATTTTTCTTCCATGGTGTTTTAGGGGATTTGTATTCAACTCTAACTTTTATTGTGAAATCAAAAACATCTGCACCTCTATAATAATAAAGTATTTTACACAAAATTAATTTAACAAATTTCAAAAAATATAATAATAAATAATAGCAATTTTTATTTTATATATAGAATTTTTATTTCATTTATTTTACAAAATATTGGAGAACATACTAATAACCATAATCTCTATCAATATTGACCACTTATCAGCTAAATTTTAATTTTTCAATTATGAACCATTAAAAATTATATGACAAAAAATGAATACAGGGTCATTCCATGTCAAGTGGCATAATTTAGAACATGGTCACTGGTCACTGCTCAAACACTTCCAATTTTGATGAAATTTTTACAGTATGTACCAATAGGACTTGTATGAAGTTCTATAATGTTTTAGGTCAGTACAGTGCATAATTGAAGTGCAAAGCAATTTGCATAAAAATCACTTTTACCACTGGAGGCAGTTTGAAAGTGTAAGAAAAAAAAAAAAACAAGACTTATAATGCAAAAATAAAATTTGCATTATAAATAAAATAAAAAATTGAATCTTATTAAAATAAAAATTTTTAATATCTTCATAATTCTCATTGCATTTCTCATAATATAATATAGATTTATTTTTACATTGCGAATCCATCACTTGCTATTCGATAACTTTTTCCATTTTTGACTCTTTCTGCCCTGTGGACACTAATAGGAAGTGAAATTTTTAATTTTAAAATTTATTTTATTGAATTCAATTACTAACATCTATTTAAATAAACAAAATCTGGGCAAGGCTATTTTTCAAAAGGTATAATTAAGTTTAAATTAAAAAATTATATATAGTGTTATTTGTTATGAGATTTTATTTAAAAATAATCTTTATATTATTAATCACTATAAAAAGGCAAAAACCTTATTTTTGAGGTAGGGGAGTTTTTAAAAAGTTGTAAATACCATTGAGTAAAATTTTCATTAAGGATGACCCCACTCAAGATATGAAACTTGACCTCTCCATTATTTCCCTACCTCTTGACCTTCAACCTCCAAAATTTAATAGCATCAATTCCCCATATATACAAATAACCCTGCCATCTTTCAATGTCAAGAAATGCAAAAAAACCAAAGAGAATAAACTTTGACTGATCACCATATACTATATTCTAGAACTCTCAGGAAAGTAATATAGTTTTATTAATAAATTAAAACAATATTCATAATAAATACTGATAAATAATTTAAATTTTACAATTATAAAAATTTGTAAAAAGTTCTTTAAAAGGTTTTTGAACTTACTTTGTTATTTTAGCGCACAAATTTTTTATTGAAATTGTCAGAGGACTTTTTGCAAAATCATCTACAAGGACAAGCTTACCTTCATTTAAAAAAAAAAAAATTACAGTTTAACAAGTTTAGTACTCAAACAAGTTTAATTTAATGTTAAAAAATAATTATTTTTATCAAATTCAGTATAAATCATGTATGTTTACATTATAATAAATTTGCCAATATAAAACAGTACAGGACCAAATATCCAACAAGCTTGGAAGCAGACATGGTCTGGATTTCTGGATTTTTCAGTGTTCTAGATAGTCTAAATACACACTTAAATTATAAAATAAATAAAGGAAAGTAAAAAACAATTATATTTAGCACATGCCAGTAGTCAGTCTGAAACTGGTATCATGCAACATGTATACCAGAGAAATCAAAACAAAGTGACCATGAAGCAAATTACAGCTGTACTACTGCCCACCAAATTCAAAATTAAGCTGTTTCAAAAACAGCCAGTTTTCCGGTAATTACAGAATCCTGGAAGTTGGATATTTGATCTCTCACTGTATCTTTAGATCAGGGGTCACCAAACTTTTTCATAGTGGGCCAGATAACTGAGACGAGCATGGGCCACATAACCATTTTGTTCAACACAGTATACTGAATAGAGAAAAAATAAAGACAACCAATATATTTATTTACCAATGCACAAATACAATTGCTACAGCAAGCTCATAATGCTTTTTTTTTTTTTTTTTAGAAACTACATTACAGGTAAGTACTTACACAAAAAGTGCTCCAATATTCAAAGTCTCAAAAAATCACTGAATTTTTTATTTCACTGATTTTCCTAAATATTGTATTACTGTCAGATGCAAAACTAAGCTGCATGGCCATAGAGGGAGTGTAAGGCATGGGTGACGTGGGCCACTGCCTACGGACTCGTTATCTACAATTTATGATATTTCCATATAAATAATTATATTTTAGTTCATTTGTGGCATGGACCGGATTAACTGATCTTGCTGGCCTTAGTTTGGTAACCAGTGCAGATAGCAAGGTAGCCATAGAAGCTAGAGCATGATGATTATGAAGCAGGAAAAACAGAAAATAGCCCATATTATCCTTTCAGGAGTTGTAAGTAAATATCATGAAGATCAGAATTTCATTTCACCACCAATGCTCAATGTCTATGTGCATTGCTAATATATTGATTTTAGTTCAGTGAGGGTGTTTGTCTTAAGATGATGAGCCATTACCATTCATTAATGTACAATGCCAAAGATGGAAAGTAGCTCTTAGACCATTTTGACAAGAAAAGGTCAATCAATCTCTGTAATTGATTAACTTCTTTGAATCTCCATCTTTAGTATGATGTCATGAAATAAGAAATTTGCTATGTTGGCTGCTACAGCATATGAATATTGTGAAACATTCATATGACTATCTATATAACTAGAATTGTTTAGCTATAAGAACTATTAGTGTAATGGCTGAGGTAATCTATAATATAATGATGATGGTTTACTTGTTATCAGAATATGAAGTAGGAAATTGCCTCAGATGATACATTCCAATAGTGTTGAAAGATTCTTGTGGTGATAGAATCAGCACTGTCTTGCCTGAGGGACATGCTTATGAGATTAGCATTCTTGTCATTTTCGGACTTAATGTTTAATGTGTCACTCATTGTCATTCAATAATGATTTTGGGCTAAGCATTCATAAGTACAAGTAGGGATGTACCAATACCACAAAAGTATTGATACTGGCTGGTATTGGCATCAAGTATTGAAACTGGAAATCTTGCCAACTGTCACTGTTCAGTCTGTGGCTTGATTTTAAAATGCTTTGTGTAATTGAAACTTTTAATTTTAACATAAGTAACATGCTTTATTCTAGTTAGTTACTATTAACAAATTATTAAAACTGATTTCTAATATAAACTAAATGTTACCATTACTGTACCAGTTGATTTGAGATTTTAATATATTTTTGAGTTTTTCAAATAATCGACAAGTTATTTATAAACAGTAATCTGAACTCTAAGCATAGTGTATGTATATTCTGAAAATAAAATTTGATGTAATAAATTTATTGATTTTGGTCATTAATTTTACTATATAAGTTTAACTTAACCAAAAATAGTGTAAAATTGGTTTTGGTTTCAGCTAAAACTGATTTTAAAACAAAAATATGATTTTGGTTTTGGATTTGGCTGCAAAATCCAATTTCGGTTGGATCTTACCTGTCTGAAAAATGTAATGATACCAGATCCAATATTTGAGGAAAAGTATTGGTATTGAACTAAAGTATTGAGTACAAAAAGTATTATGTTGAAGGAAAGTAATGATATGGTACCTGTATTGGCAGTATCAGGACGTCCCTAAGTACAAGCATATTCTAGNGGCTACTCAAATATTTTACGTTTTTGATACTAAATTAACATCTGAAGTATAATCTTTTATTGTTTTTATATTTTTCAATAAATTTATTTTGTTTGTACAAAATAAAAAAATAATTTTTAACGATACAATAGTCTTCATTAGGCTTAACATCGACGAAAATTCAACGCGAAGCGACACGCAACGGAGAGAAATTTTAACATGGGATAAATTAATATATTTTTTCGTACATGATTCGTTATCCGAACCATCCCAGTCCCCAATTGATTCGGATAAACGACGCTCTACTGTATATACATACAGTAAAAATTATCTTAATTAACTTTCCCTCTTATATGAACTACGTCTACTCATCATAGAAGGATTTTCATGCCAAAGACAATCCATTGGCATCTCTATGATTAATACAGTTTGTGTGCAACTGCACCTTGTGAATTTCTAGTTTTTCCAGATGTTTCATGGCCTGCCTGGATCTTGTAGCCTTGATGATCGATGCCTGATCCCAGAAGACCTCAATATTCTGCTGTTTGGTAAAAGCAGCAAGCACCGTAGAGTCTATGCTTTTATTCATCGAGTGCTTATGTTCAACAATTCTTTTCTTTAAGTTTCTCATGGTCGCTCCTATGTATATTAAATTGGAGTTAAATCTACGGTCCTTTAACGGTATAGAGTATACCCCTGCCATCTCGTTGCGTTCGTAACTGCCTTTATCGTTCCTTAAGAGCCTGTACACAGTGGGATTACGTTTGTAAACTATCTGTATATTCTTATTTCTGGTAACTTTCTTAACCATTCCTTTGAGGAACGGTATGTAATTGAGTTTTTCTATCTGCTGATTCCCTCCCTGCGCAGGGTGATGCTTCTGACAATTTGCAATGAGAGCATCTATTCTTTCTCTACAGCATCCTTGCTGCATCACTATGTTTCGGATATATTCCAATTCTTTGTAAGTGTCGCAGATTGCTGGTGCAATGTGTGTGCCCCCTCCTTATCCAAGAACGAAAAACCGCCACTTTTATATGCTCAGAGTCTGCAGAGTTCCTAGGAATGAAAATAGGAAGATAACTTGGTTTCCGGTATATATCTGTTCTGATTTCCCATTCCTTGCAAGTTATAGATACATCCAAAAAACTAACATTGCTCCCATTTTGCTGCTTCAGCTCCAAAGTTAATCCATACGGGTTGTCGTTGATCCATTCTATAAACTGGCTAACTCTGCAATTATCTTTCCACAAAATAAAGATATCATCAACATATCTTGCATAGGACAATATGTCTTCCCAGAACGAGGGGAGTATTTGGCTTTTGAGTTTACGCAAGTTGTCTTCGGCGTGGAAATCCTATGATGAGTAGACATAGTTCATATAAGTGGGAAAGTTAATTAAGATAATTTTTACTGGATGTATATATTTTATTTTAGTTCTTTATTTCGTTTTAATTAACTTGTATAATCTTTGCGATTATTTAAGCTTGTTAAATCTTAATGTAAATTTGTATAACCGCTTTTTGAATTATTATTTTACATAATTTTGAATTCTTCGTTTGATTCAAAATGATAACTGAGGATGATTGCTTAAAGCATTCAAAAGCATTTTTAAGATATTAAAAATCGATTTGATGGATTGTTTAAAGGTTTTGTTTTTTACTTATTGTATGTAGTTCCAGTAGGAAAGTAATTATTTATTTAATAAATGAATTAATCAAAGGATAAGTTACTTTATTCTAGAAACAAGAATTTTAATTTATCATTATGCACATATCATAAAATGTGTGCATAATGCATAATGATAATGTATAATGATATGTACAGTACATAATGATATAAACCAGGCCTGGTTTACATCATAATGTACACATTGTGTTTTTTTTATATAATTTGTTTTTTTGTCACTTATCACACAATATTCCATTCAATATATAAAAAATCTAACATGTACATTTTAAAAATTTGTCTTATTCTAAAAATGGAATGTTCTAAAACCATTTCAGAATAATGGACAGCTATGTTTTTTTTTAAATTATAAAATGCATATACCTCCTGAAAAAGATCTATGAAGAAGACCAAAAACTTTTGATTAGTAAACATTTACTGCATAGTTAATGGTTACATGTTTGTTGTTAAAGCTAGTGCAGTTATAAAAAAGATTTTCATTTTTATTTATTTTTTCATTTCATTTATCTTTATAAAATAAAAGTTTTTATTTTGTAGTATAAAGAGACAAAGACGTTACCTTAACAAAAGGTTTTATTCGTGTCTGAAATACACGACTATTACAAATTCAAATGCAGTGAGAAACAGTGCTGCCAGTCCAAGAATCTAACTACTGTGGGGAGAAGTGTTGCCACACTGTGACACTACTACACACTTTATCTGCTTAACCTAACTTTTAAACATTAACTCCATTATAGTAAACTGTAACAGTTTGCATGGGTACCAAAAGAAAATACATTTGTGCATAGAGGATTAGATGATTACATAAAACCTAGAACGGTAACCCTAATGTATAAAAAGGAGAACAAGAGAAAAGAGGGAAGTAAATAAGAGAAATTTCTGGGTTGGATTTCAGGATGGATTGACTGCTGAATTTATACTCCTCAAAACTGAAATTGCAACACCATGAAGAAATATGCATAATCACATGCAAATTGCAGGACCAGTAAAGGTAACACAATACGACTTCTAACTTTAACACTGCGATGAGTAATAATAATCCACAAAAATCTTTATATAACAGTGTTGTGTTCGTTACAATATGCACGTGGTTTAGCCCGTGCCTGTGCCAACCATCCCACACGGTGCAGTGCTAGCCCCCTGCCTACACAGGATGGTGGCCAGCAACCTGTTAAGAGTGACAGACACATGGTCATCCAGTTCAACCAACATTTGGACCCCCTATACAGGGAGATTGCTTGCTGTAATCGTGTGAAGATCGTGTATAGGAGGACCAGCACTATTTACGACCTGCTGCACAACGCTAAGGACATGATAGATCTCAACAGGACCCCAGGGAATTACTCCATTCCCATCAGGGACGATAGATTCCATAGAGACTTAGTTCACATTGGCTCCACCATCCACTCAACACAAAAACAGTTACGTGAGCATCAATCGAATATTAAAAATAACAGGCACACCACCGCCTTGTCGGCCTATGTTACCGACCCTGAAATTCGGGCGGACTTCCAAAACACCAAAGTAATCAGACAGGCATTTCGTATAGATCATATCCGTCACCTGGAAGCCTGGGAAATCTTTAAAGCCAATGTTGAGGACACCTGCATAAACTTTAAAGATGGAGAGTCAATCACGCAAGCGTGGAGATACTTATTCGAAGAATTTGAACTGGAACAAGCAGAGGGATGAAATGCGATATGCACATTATTTACATCTCGGACATCATTGTTCCAACGGTCAGGCAGAGACACCACTTAGTCAAAAAAAAAATCATAGTTTAACAAGTTTAGTATTCAAACAAGTTTAATTTATTGTAATGAACACAACACTGTTATATAAAGGTTTTTGTGGATTATTATTACCAGTAAAGGTAACAGAGATATGCAAATAATTAAGTTTGTGTATGCATCAGGTCATGTGGTACCCAGTTTTGAGCTATAAAGATCAGCAGCTAGCTCAGGCTGTAAATGCTATCAGTGATGGTTCATGGCAGCCAAATTTGTGAAGAAGCATAGAATCTGATTCTCACGAAATAAAAATAAAATTAAGTTAGTAACAAATATAGACAATCAAATTGTTAAGTTCAATTGTAACATGTGTCAGACATGTGTCAGGTGTATGGATGTCAGCAAGTGTTAATGGACAGTCCACAGCTTTGTCACACGTGTCAGGTGGGTGAGGTATTAGTATCCCCAAGAATTCGAGGTGAAATTGTCCCGCCTAGAGAAGGAGAAATTGTGAGAGAGGGAAAATTTGTGGGCTTCCCTTTGTTGTGTTTGTCGAGTCAGTGTTGTGTGTGGAGTCAGTACTGACCGGGGAGCTAACCAGAGTGGGTAGCTTTGTGGCTGGTCAAGAACCAGTAGTGTAATTATCAAATAATTGTTGGGTGCCGGAGGGTTGCTCGATTGTGGAGGGCCAGAGAGTCACTCGCTGATTTCGAGACATTAATTAAAGTGTAATTGTGTTGTTATTGTTAGAAAGGAAGTGTGTACTGTGTTCTTTTAGACCAGTGATGGGCAAACTACGGCCCGCGGGCCAACTGCGGCCCCCTGAAATGTTCTATCCGGCCCGCGCGACATTCCTAATCTGACGAGTAAAAAAGAATACAGGCTGTGGTGGTTGATGCACCACTTAACTTGAGTGTTCGTTGATTATATAAAATAACCGAAGCTTTATATCTCACCATGAAAGTTTATTTACAATCATGTACAAAATTTTGTTTTACACTTATTGGGTAAAAGCTCGATCGGTTACAAGCATGCTTCAGTACAGAACATCCACTCGTCGTGCGTAGCGTAGCCGAAAGAGAGAAAAAGAAATATGGCGGACTGCCTGCACATGTTTTTATAGTGCCACCTGGATTTTCAGATGCAGCGCTAGGTTACAATTATATTGGCCCGCCTAAAGTTTTCTTCTTTTCCTTTGGCCCGCTCTTTAAAAAGTTTGCCCATCACTGTTTTAGACCATGAAAACAGGAACATTTTATACCACCATCATCACATCATCGTTTTTATACAACACAAATAATAAGTTAAATCATACAACCAATTATTTACAACTAATTATTTACAGTCTATTCAAAGTTATATTTAATTAAATTATTATGATGTTGACATAACTTACATAGTTATAAATCCAAGTTGTATTGTACATGCATCTACAGACAAGATTGGATTTATTGTTCTGATACTGTAAATAGTAAGATATGACTCTAGCTTGTAAATAGTGTTGCCACCTTTTCAAAATTGCTTACCTAAACAATAAGTTTGTTCCAACACAAGTCCCTGACTGGTTTGAATTTGAAACCATGCAAGGCATGTGCAACATTGTTTTAAAGCCAAGTACTGAACAATGCGCATGCCAGTTTTAAACCAGTTAGGGTCTTCTGTTGGAACAAATTTAATATTTGCCAGAGATATTTTCAAGTTAGAACTTTAAAAGTGCATTTTCTGTCACTCTTACCCTAGGGATAAGATAGAGATAAGTTTGGGTGGGGTGTGAAATTAAAGTCTTTAACCATTAAAATAAAATACTTGCAAATACTTTTATAAATTTATTTTGTTTCATCATAATTTCACAGTTTCTATGAAAACTGGACAAATTAATAATTAATCTGGACCATAAATTTAAAAAACAGTTTGTCCAGGTGAAAACTGGCTTGATGGCAACACTACCTGTAAAGTTCCAGATTTTTTTGATGTTTCTAGATAATTTATTAAATTTAAATTAATTTTAATCATTAATTTCATATGAAATGCTATCAATATCTTTAACATCAAATTTCATAATAATTTAATTAAATACAGTCTTAAAATAAATCAATAAATAGCCTACTTATTTGGTTTAAATAATTCACATTTAAATGTTTTACTTAAGTTTTTTGAGAAAGCTTCAGTATCTTCAATTTTTCTTAACTGTTTTATAAATATTATATACTTTAATCTAAAATTAGAAAATAAAATTTGAAAATTATAAGTAAACAATTTTTTAAAATTTAAGTTATTAAAAATTATATATAAACAATATATAAATTTTTATATCAAAAAATACTTTATTGGTTTGTTTATGTACAGTACTACTTAATAACATTAGTTTTAACAATCTTAAAAATATTAGTTAATGTAGTCTAAGTTAAATAAAAAAAATAACATTAAATTAATTAAATTAATTAATTAATAATAATAAAATAATCTAACGTTTATACATAATTACTAGATTAAAATAGTAAATACTTTGATCTAATTAATTAAAAGTTCATTTGATGATCTATTTGAATTGCAATAAATTGTATTTAAACAAAAGGCTAATTTAATGAAATAAATTAATTTTTCACTTTAAATTTATATGAAATATATGATATTTTCTTGATTAAATTTCAGAATTAAAATAATCTTTAGGGGATAAACACGCTGTTAAAAATAAATCTTGCTTTCAAATAAACCCAAGGCTGAAAGGCATGAAAACATGCCAAAGTACTAAAAAGTATAGAATACTGTAGTTTAGAGTGACAGGTAAGTAATTTCCTTGGCCCTTTGCTTGTCTAATCAAAGTATTGATCAGTGGGAAGATGTACTAGGTGATGCATTACATGCTGTTTGGTCTCTCCTATGCTCTCTACAAATTCCATGCTCATGAGAGATTTTTCAGACACCCCTGAAAGACGGAAACAGGTATTTGTCTTCTCACTTGGTTGCTATTACCAAGACCTGTCCTACTACGTTCACATAATCATGCCAATAAATATGTCTTTCTAGTTGAGGAGGCTAATCCCAAGTACACTCACATTCAGTACCCTGATGGGCAGACATTAACAGTGTCCCTAAGGCACCTTGCACCTCGAGGCGAACCTTTGCTTGAATCCTCAAAAGATGGCACGGTCCTCCCTAATATTTTAACCCAGATTCCCGATCAAGCTAGCTCTGGTGTTAAGGCAACACCTCCTCCACTTTGTGAGGGTGATTTGTATCCCTTCCAAGTTCAAGATAAAGATATTTTATCACCCCCAACAGAAGTAATCAGGTCGCCTCATCCTGTAAGGCAACACTGTCAGCTCAGTTATTTGAAGGATTATATTATGTAATGTAAGTGGAGGAGAATGTAGTAGTGTCACAGTGTGCAACACTTCTCCCTACCATGGGCGTAGCGAGGGGGGAGCCTGGGTGGGCACGGCCCCTCCCAGGGAACCTGGTGCCCCCCAGGAAATCACAGCCGAAAAAGTGTTGAGTCGATTTGTAAACACCTAAAGCTAAAATAAAAGTTTTGAATACTAAAAAAAAAGGTGAACGGCTTGCTCGGTGCCCAATAATGAACAATAATTTGAAATAATTCAATTTTGTGTCAGGTTGGCCTTCACTAGGCCCCCCATAACAAAACTCTGGCTACGCCCATGCTCCCTACAGTAGTTAGTCTCTTGGATCGGCAGCACTGTTTCTTGCTGCATTTGAATTTGTAACAGTCGTGAATTTTAGACACAAATAAAACCTTTTGTCTCTTTATACTACAGATGTGTAAAACAAATCATGTTTTAGAGCAAACTAGCATGGTATTGTTAACGAGGAACTCATCCCAAACTATGTCAAACAAGTCAGGAAGACTGGTTAAGCAGCCAGAATTGAGATCAGTGCTCTCAGGAACAGCAGAGCCTTTAAGAAATGTTGTGCTTTAGAGTGTCTTTCAAAGCCAAGACAAACCAGACTGGTCATTATAACCACTTGTGAACAAAAAAATTTATTGTTATGTATGTAAACCTCCAGGGTGTGGGTATAATACAAAGTTACGTTTGTATTATACCCACACCAAATTGCCCCTTGACCTAGTTAGACAACCCTGCACCTCTGACCTTTGTCGTGTTCCTTTGTCTCCAGTCAGTCGTGCGTTAGCTGTTGTAACACTTAGACCTGGAGGCACAAAGTTACGTTTGTATTATAATAAAGTTAATTATATATGTTAACAATTATAATTGTTTATTTTACGGACACAACACTTATTCTACAATGAATTTAAAGTAAACTAAAGAAAATATTCAGAAATTATTAAATAAAAATATAAATTTAACATTAGAAAAAGATTTTCTTTATAATAAACTGAAATTTACCTTGTGTGACTTTCTTTTTGATAAAATTCATTCAATTCTATTATAGTGTGTCTTTTCAGTGTGTGATTTCCTATATCATTATTTAGATCACCAAGTAAAATAAATCCTGTAAAAAAATCAAACAATTTAAAATACTATTCTACAAAAACAAAAGTTTTTGAAAATTAAAATTTAATTAAAATATATAGAGATTAAATGTCTTAGACAATTAATGCTTTTTCAAAACTATGATAATCAAAAAATTTTACAAATGTTTGTAAAAAAGAAATTCAACATATTTTTTATTTTGTATTTGTGTGTGGGCTTCTCTTACCTTACTTTCAGTTTACACATACAAATTTTAATCTTATCACACCTATTAAATCTGAATATGCTTTTTTCAGCTATACAATTCTCATATTTATTTGTTCAAACACTTTCAATAATATGAATTCCTAACAGAGCTATGTAGTCAGTACACAAAACTACTGACTTTAACTCTTCAATTTTTAAATTTTCAACTAAGACTCTGGCTTATGTTTGTCAATTTTTATATCGCAATTCAGACTTCTTGGTAAAAGCTCAATATGTATTAGTAATTAAAAAATCAACTAAAATGGTAAATAGTACCATAAACCATTTCATCTCCATCATATGAGCCATCAGGCTATGTTTTAGACATAACCAGAATGAGGACTGTAGTGGAGAATACATATAGTATACTATCATATATCCTATCCTTTTTTGTAAAAATATCATATACCTTCTTGGTTTTATTTATATTAGTAATGTGTGTAAAATAACAAATCTATTGTGGCATGACGCCATATTCATGTATAGTTTCTTAAGTTATGTTATTTTCATTTTTATCACTTCCCTTTCCTAGCCTATCAATTTACCTTTTGTTCTTGATTTTCCTTCATTTCCCGAGTTTGGGAACTTTCCGCCCTTGCCCTACTTCTGTGGGTGTGAGCATCAGACAATAGAGTGGAGATGGCCCTGAGGGCAAACATTAGTCAGTCAGACTTTTTGGTCAAGTTCCCAAAGAGGGCAGACATGTAGAGGATGAGCTCTAGGCTTTGAGTGGTTTCAGAGTGACAGGGTATGACCACTAAGATACAGTCAGTACAAAAAGTACCAGTGAGTCCTGAGAGTTGAAATGGGAAATCTTGTTTGGAAGACCAAAAGAAAATGTAGCAATAACTAAAGAAAATACATATACTAGTGAAATTCAGGAGAACTGCAAAGGTATATTTGAATGGTTTCATCGTGATACATGAAGTAATGGGTACCCCTTTTCTAAGACTTTTTACTTCATAAATCTATCTCTCCCTATCTAACATCTCTTCCCTCTTTTAGCATTAATTAGAATAAAAAACTTAGGTTGTAAGGTAGTCTTAAGCACGGCTGATCTTTGTGCAGTGGCGTAGCGTAGTGGGGGCAGCAGGGGTGGCCTGCCCCGGGCAGCAAAATTTCACAATAAATAATAATAATATCTTGTAAAAATTTGAACCATTTCATTTCATATTTTTGTCGCACCTACGATTCGGACCGATTGAAATGAACATGAAATTTTTCATTACTTATTCTGTGACGAAACTGTATTTTAGTCTTTTCAATTGAGATACCTAAATAAGGGGGTGGTGAAATTTTCCTCCGCTCTGGGCGGCTGACACCCACACTATGCCACTATCTTTGTGTATACTTTTGTGATTTGAACCCCACGTGTGTGAATCCCGAAAAGTGATTAAGAAGATCCTTTTGTGTAACAATCTTGATTGTACTTAACTGTTGTATAAAAGTATTTACTAACAATGCACCAGAGTTGGGACCTGATCTTTTTTTCTTCTTTGTGTTCATAATGTATAAAATAGGTAGTTTTGTTCTTTATTTTATACATTATGTACATATTTTATACCTGTTTCTTATTCTCGCCATGCTGAACACAACACTATAGAATAATTTATTTTATTTCAAATAATCAAAGCAATACCTTCATTTTTTAAAATAATTGTTTTTCTTCTTTCTATTTTTTTTATTGCAATTTTGAACTTTCTAAATGTTCTGAATAACATTCAACAGTCTAAATTGCATTGAAATATGACAAATGATTGGAAAGTAAGAATATAAGCCTTATAACTCTGCAAAAACAATTAATTGGACAGTGTTGGATATGCACATGTATCTATATGAAATTGCTGCAACATTTATATGTATGCAGTGTGTATCTGTATGCAACTGTTGCAGTGGTGCTAGACATCTATCTAGCACTACTACAGCAGTTAGTTACATACAGATGTGTACAGTACAATCATCAGAATACTATGGACACTTGAATGTGGGTGAGGAAAAATGAAATTGTTATAATTAAATATATATATAAGATAGAAAATAACAACAGCTAAGCAGAAAGGTAACAGAAATGAGTGATAAGTATAAAATGATGGTCACACGTTTGGATTAATCCATTGTTCTCAAGTCTCAATAAGAAAAAACAAGAAGAATAAGTATTTACACAATAACATTAATATAGCAATTAATGTTATCCAAAAGGGTACACGCACACAAACAAGCAGAAAACCAATGAATCCGTCCTTTTTCAGATATAATAATAACACTTAGCACCAACGCAGCAGGGAGATCTTAATTAACAATAGTACACTCAGTGACAAAGCTGGTGAGTCTGTTAGTAATGGCCCCCAAGACTAGAAAATTATATTAATTTTCAAGTCTTGGAATTTTTTGTCAGTCCTCCATGATCACTCCTCAATCACTGCATGCAAATCATAGAGCCACCTAAGTTTCACCTCTTCCTGTTAAGTCCACAGTTCCAATTTCAGTCCCAATAGCACTACCATTTTCACTCTCTCCACATGGACTTTCTACAGTCAAGCTCTGCTTTTTCCTAGAATCCCCTGAACACTTCCTTTCACCCTCATATACCCAGGGGTTTTATTAACACAAGTGGTTTTTCCATTTAGACTGGATGGGGGTGTCACCAATCATAAGGCATACGACAAATGAAAATGGTTTGTACTATACATGTGGAAAGGTTGTTGCAGAAAAAGATTCAAAATGGTAATATTTTCTGTCAGTCAAGTAGCCTGTAGTGGATATTCATTGCAAATTGGTTTCAGTATATAATTAGACCATAATGAATTAGAATATTATGGCTAAATGGTGTTTAATTGTTGCAAAGAAAAGAGGGAAAATTGGCAATGTAGTGTGGCTGTCCGCCATTTTGTATATACATAGTTATAGTATTTAGATTTAAGATTCTTTGTTCTTTTCCTTCCTTCTTCTTTCTACTAATGACCATTTCCGGTCACCCGATCAGGAGTGGGAATTTCGTGGGTCCTGATTGGTGGCTTACCGACGTGAACAGGGCGCGGCCCTGCCCGTGGGGTACAGAAGGTGAACAACGGGGTGAGAAGGACACTTTTTGCCTGGACGACGAGGAGAAAGGGTTAAGAAAATATCGTCGGGACATTAAGTCAGACATAAGACAAAGAACCAGCCCAATGTGCGAAGTTTAGCGTAGTCCAAAGAGAAGAGAAAAGGACTAGTGACTTGATTGATGAGAGATAGTAGTCTACGAAAACTAAGTGCCAAATCTCATACTAGGAATGTTTAATATACCAAAGTCGGCCGAGAAAACCCCCGCAATTATCGGAAACCACCATCAGGACCTCCTGTGCTAACTACCGGTAGACCTTTTCTTTCCTTCCTTCCTTTTCCTCTTATTAGTATAGTGTTAGATTAAGTTAGATATAAGTTAATTATAAGTTAGTGATTAGAACCTATATCGTGATAATTAAAAATTGTAAGATTCCGGACGAGAGTAGAGACCTGTTGTATATCTGTGTATTTGTCTCTGACGGGCATCTCTCTATTACCTGTTAATCCCTGTTGTAATAAATTATTGTTTAATTGATATTCGTTGGAACAATTTGTCTCGTACATCTTTAACTCTCACAGTAGAATGCAGCATTCAGCTGTGTGCACATCCATCAAAAAGTGTTATTCATTGTGACTGATGATAAAATGTAAGTGCATGTTAGGTCATTAAAACAGTTTTGGTGCCACTAGTTAGATTTGTGCAATTTTTGTATTTATGTTTATATTTTATTGTGTTTTTATTTTATTTAAATTACTACTTTTAACATTAAATTTCTACTATTTGAAAAGCAAACATCTGTATTTGAGTTTGAATTATTGTTATTCCACTTCTGTTCTACTAGTCTGAAAATGATAATATAACAATTATCAAAAGTACTTATGATTAAAGTATGTTTTTGAGTCAATTTTGTTATTAACATTGAAGGCAGTTTATTTGTGTCATAATTAGTACATCTTAATATGGGTCCACAGTGTCATCAATACAATAAGTTGTTTTCAATTCATAATTTATTCAGTTTTATTTCTTTTGATTGTTAAACCATAAGTCAAATCAACTGTATTTTTAGTCTATGGTTCCCATAAGTTCAAAAACAGAAACTGGGACATTGAGGTAGCATTATGATAAAAATTAATAAATATCCATCATTACGTAGCTAGCGGCTACTCTAGAAAATAAATGATTAATTAAATATAATTAAATTAATTTTATTGAATTATCACTTATTGAACATTTTTATTATTTCTTATGTTACATATTTCAACTAAGCTTTTGTGGCTGCCACATTTTTAATCTGGATGAATCTATGATGGATATGATTAAATGTAAAGGTCCTCTTAGTGCCTGCAGGGCAAAAAGAGCAAAAAAAAAAAAAAAAATAGACTATGGTAGACATAACCATTGACTAATCCACCATCAATGGTTGTAAAATTGTTTTTGCAGTTTTGTGCAACCATTGATGATTTTGAAGCCATTGTACAGCACTACATAGAACCATCGAACATACTGTGTATGCCAAATATTACTACAGGCATGTGCATGTGAGATTGCAAGGACAGCTAGTGCAAGCATGTTGACATCTATTGCCTATAATTCTTATATGACTTTTTTAAAATACAAATCATAATATTTTTTAACAGAAACGAACAAATTGGGACATTGGGAACAAATTGGAAAAAATTTTGTAATTGGGACAGTGTTCCAAATCAGGAAAAAAATCAGGACATAGCAACCTT